TAATAAGATACATAAATAGGTCATCAGGCTAAAAAGACAGAATGTCTGAGCCTGCTAAGATAAGCGGAAGAACACCCAAGGAACCATTTACTAACAATGAACAAGATAAATTAGGAATATAGAGATTAGGTAAAGAGTAAGTTGAGCATGGACAATGCGTGGACAGAGTATGCTGCACAGAGATTGGCTTGGTTACTATGCAGGAACCAATCCCAAAACGTGTGATGCAAAGAATAGTAAATGCAATGTATTGTGTAAATGTATATAAAGGAAGAGGTTTTCTGTGTAACTATGGATGTGAGGTATGCCCTATACCCACCCCCTATACTTGAGTCTGATCAGCTCAGCATAGCTTTTCTGTATGCCAAATAAAGGAATCCGAGTGACAAAGTCCGGAGTCAAGCTGATGACTAGAGAACTGGACAAGGTGTTCTGGATCAACCAAGTGGAAAGGTCTCAGAGGAAATTCCAAAACCCCTTCCTAAAAAGAACCTGTTTGAGACATGTCACCTCCTGTTAAATATCTTAGGGACATAATTTTCAATATAGACGCACAATTCCTTCAATATTACCCATACATACTTTTCACAATGATTATGATTACCAGATCCAGTTGGCTTCTAGCTCTCATTAGAGACCTCATATGGCACCCTTTAGTGAATTATTATGCATATATCTGACTCAGGGGATCCCAGTAAAACTCTATGCACCTCCTATGCTCTCTGCCAGGTGGCACCAAGAAATCATTGAGTCACACTGGTCATTAAAAAGAAATAAGAAGGTTACTTACCTTATAGTAACTGCAGCAGTTTGAGATGTGTGGTCCCTCTGCGTATTTGCTGTGGTTTGTACATGTGCTCTGTGTGCCCATGACCAGAAATTCTTCAATAGCAGTATTTACAGGACTGTACCTGTGCACTACACCTCCCCATGCTGCAAACTGAGGGCATAAGTGGTTGTGCAGACTCTAGATCCTATTCTGCCATGAATCATGTGAGGATCCAAAGCAGAGGAGGAGATCAGATAAAGAGCTAAGGGGATGGCCTACTGCACAGTCAGCCGCTGTGCCACCATAGCAATCAATTTGAAAGACTCTAGAAAGGCCTCAAGGTCATCCTCTGGGCCCTTCTTGGTGAACCTCATTGGCATAGCTGGCATCACCATGGCTGGGCCTGTGGGCCTCACAGGATAACCCCCAATCACCTTGGTAGTTGCAAGAGAATCAAAACTTCTTGTGCCAGATGTTGATGCTGCTCCTGAGTCAGTTGCTGTTTTCATTTCTCAGTCATCGCTTTAATGTTCACTCTAGGTCTGTATTGCCATAGAATAGCCATTCACCCCCCACCCCCAAGCCTTGGGAGGGCTGCAGAGCACGGTTATTCAGGCTTCTCCCTTCCATAGGGGTCTGCCTGCGTTCTCCACCCACATGTGACAGGATTGCTCCTGGGTTCATGGGCAGCCACTGCTCAGTTCCCAGTGAGAGAACAAAAGTTTTTATTTAGCTGTTGCCCCCTTCAGGCAGGGCACCTGCAGTAGTCCTCCCAGCAACAAGCAAGGCATTGGTAGCAAATTGAAACAATAGTCCCACATCAGGATCAGATTCCCTCAGGGAGGGAAACTGCCCACAGCAGTTTCTTAAGCAGTTGCTGACCCTAGCCAGGCTTTTCTGACAGAGCTAAAGGTCTGGTTCTCTCTCCCAGCTAGCACCCAAACAAGCTTTTAAGCCTTCCTTGTTAAGCCTACCAGTTGCAGGTGTAACAGGACAGGGCTGACTGAGGCCACAGCAGTTTAGTAAGCCTTTCCTGGCCAGTGAGCATACTCCATTACAGGGCGGTCATGCAAATTTTTTGTATAAAAGCTGTTAACCTTGCTACTGAATATCAGAATGCTTTCCCAATTATCAACTATGGACTTACTTAGCTCTGTGTCTGTCACTGAAGACTTTAGAACCATCCAAGGGGCAGAGCTTTTGACAGTTGCTCCATGGCTTTTCCTACAGTCTGTAGGATTTAGATGGCTGCCTGTGAGCCGCAAATGGCTCTTTAATGTGTCTCCTGTGGCTCTTTGCAGCACATGATATTAAAACAGTGTGATTTAATTATTAATGAAACAGAATGCTTTTAGTATGTTATTAATATTAACCAATTAAGTTATCAACTTGCACTAAGTTATTAACTTATTTGCTGTGAGAATAATATATATATATAAACTGAATATTTCCCTGTCATACTGTTTAAATATGAATAGTACTATAATAAATGAAACAATGAATTCACACTACTGGAGCTCTTTTGGGTAATGTTGATCACTGAACCACTGAGGTCTGGTTTAGATGCTTCTTAGGGATCCCAGTCTCTGCAATTCATCTAAACTCTTCAGAAACAGATTTTGAACTTACAAGTTCAGTTGGGGCCCCAGTCTCTGCAATGTTTGTAGAACTTACAAACTTGTCTTAGTAGCACAGTAACTCTTACATCTCCATGACTGAAGCACCTGTACAGCTACATGGAAGCCTTTGATGTACTATGATAGAATTCTCAAGAGTAACAAATTCTTGAAAGTACTTTTTAGAATGATACCACTGCAGTGACAGCACAGCTGTTTGTTGGGGATTGTTTTGTTAGCCTTAGATATTTTCAGCAGATATTTTGATTCTGGCCCACATCAGTTTAAGACTTCAAACTTGTCAGTTAAAACAATTAATATTTTATGCTAAATAAAATGTTAACAGACCCACTTAACACTCTTAGTTTGTGATCAACAAACTACTACTGCTGAGTTTAGCAAAATAAAGAACATGTAATTATAGGAACATGTCTGTGGCCTCATTCAGTCCACCAGAGGGCAGGATTTAGAAATATTATTTATTTAAATTTGATTCAGTTCTTAATAAGTGCATCTTGATTCAATTAAGTATAGTTATATGAAACTTATTTTCCACCAGTACTAATGTGATGCACATAGTAAGATAATTTGGAATGAGAGGCTGGAATAGTTGTATTATTGCTCAACAGAGTTATGAAATGTTTTTTTATGTAAATTATAATTTTATATGTAGTGTTCTGTTCTCTTTAGGGGATTTCAGATGTTGTATTTTCTGGGTTACTTTATTTCTGAGTCATTCCCAGTGCTACTGATTTGTATCAGAAATGTTCAAAGCATCAGGAACTCTTCTGATAACAGGGTCCATATGATATCCTAGTCCATTTTTTGAGGTGTTTTAGAAACATATAGGTGCATGTCTGAGAATAACAAAGGAATGGTGTGTGATGTAGAGATGAAGGAACCCCCAGCAAGTAAGAGCCAGAAAATTACATAACTTTTGAAGAGTGGTGGTGATGGGAAAAGGCCACTTGGCTTTAATTTATTTTAGCTTACTTACACAGTTAATACTACTATATATTATATTAGCTTTGGGGAATCCAGATTCCCAAAGGAAAGGAGCTATTTATGATATAGCCATTTCAGCAGCTGGAAAGGGAACATTTATGGATTACAAAACTAGAGGATAACTGGATTTTGTAATGGCTGCCAGCATACAGTGGTTTTGGAACAGTTGAAAAACAGAGCTGTTTCTGTAACTCTCATGTTACATGCTGGAAATGAAAATGGTCCTTTCTGGTGGATGCTGTCTCTACTCTTATTTACTTGTAGTCTGTTTTTGGCTTCATTTTAAAGTTAAAAACAACAACCCCCTCAAACTAAAGTACACTGAAAGTACCCAGGAACTGTTAATGCTGTAGTGTTGAAAATTGTTTGGTGAGAGGGCTGATTAGCCCTAAAGGTCTCCCATTCTTGCTGGGAACTTTTCCAAGAAACAAAGTACTTTGCCATCTGCTCTAACACCTACTGAAGAAGTCAGTGGAAAGACTATAGGTGACTTCAATGGGCACTGGATTGGACTAATTTCTGATTTTTATACACACACACACACACAACTACTACTACTACTACTATCAGATGAGCCAGCTGTCCCTAATTATTAACACAAAGTCAATAAAAATACCTAAAAGTATCAGAAAAAAATAAACAGCACAGATTGGAAACCCTGGACATGATTAAAACAGAGGTAGTTTTAATGATATTTTGGGGTCAGGGGGTTAACAGACAGATATAAACTGATATCAAGAATGGATACATGTCTATCAATTCAGCATAATGCAGTTTTAGAACTGGTGTGAACAAGATGAAGCCTGTTGACAGGGTTGAAAAAGGGTTTGCTGATAGTTGATGGACAACTCCTTTTAGTCCTTCAGTTTCTCATTAACAGAGAATCTTTCATCTTTTTGCCCTTTAATAAATGTGGTTTGAGAACAGAAAAGGCTTGAATAACTCTACACTGGGTAAGGAAGACAAACTCCTTACAAATCTGTTAAATAATTTATGATCCAGAACACAATAAAATCACAAGGACAGTACAATTACAGATTCAGTGCTTTTCATGCAGCTTTATTACCTTCTGGCTCTAGAAGCCCATTACATATGGGTTTGTCAGGGATATATCACAGGCCAACTCTCAAGATGAATTTGCACTTTGAAGTAAACTATCATGAGGCAAGACTTACTCGAAAGGCATTGGAAGTGAGTTAGCTTAAAAATAGAGAGAGAGCAGCAAGAAAGGAAGCAAGAATAGGGAAAGGAGAATTCGGACAGCAATAAATATACAGGAATGAAGGAAAGTGAGGGGAGAAGGATTGAAATATCAGGCCCCCAAAACTTCAGCTGAAATGGTGCAAGGGGTGAGAGAAAAAGAGTGGATAGTGTAGAAAAACAATTAGTTGGGAAATCTATGCTAACAGTGAATCCTTCGGTTTAGTTCAGACAAGTTCATGGAGGATAGGTCCATTAATGGCTATTAGCCAATAAGCTCAGAGATGCAACCCCATGCTCTGAGTGTCCCTAGCATCTGTTTGCCAGAAGCTGGGAATGGATGACAGGGGATGGATCACTTGATGATTACCTGTTCTGTTCATTACCTCTGAAGCACCTGGCATTGGACACTGTCGAAACACAGGATTTTGTACTAGATGGACCATTGGTCTCACCCAGTATGTCCGTTCTTATGTTCTTAGTTTCACTGACTCCTTTTGATCTAGAAAACAATTGTCTATAATTTAAAGTACAGTTTTCTAATTTATTTCCCAATATCCTTTATTAAGAAAAGTTACATAAAGCAGAAGTTATAAAAGTCAGAAGGATAAGATGAAAAGCGACTGTGGCTGCTGGCTATCCCAAATATAGTATGATAGCTGTAACTTATTGGACAAAACAGGTATCTCAAGTGGTATTTGTATTTAATAACTCTATATTCCAACTGCATTTTCTGTGATGTTGATCTGTCTGTTCACATAATGCCAAATTTTCCAGACAAGTAGTTTGTGTTTCCTTGGGAAGTTGCATTTTTCTCATCATTAGGTTTTGAAGGTGGGTCTACAGCAACATATTTAATTTGAAAACCACCTGCTGTCACTGAGGCATCTGACAAAAACTTTAAGGTCATGAGATTTCCTAGGGCAAGAGAGAGGGGAAAAAAGTTACTTCTTTGCTATTGAATAAAAAGTGCTGCTTTAGAATTTTTCTCTTCACTCCTCCCTCCCCAAGAGCTATTGAAGTATTTCCCCCCAAATCTTGGATCTAAATCCTAAGATCCTTACTCACTTCTTATTCAGACAACATTGAAATCAATATTGGTGTATCTCATTGAAAACTAAGCAAGGAGCTCAAGATTCACCCCCAATATCAATAAGAGTTTTGCTCGAGTAAATACTGAGTAAGACCTTCAGGAGTTGGATCAGCATTGCTTACTATGGGCAGGGCCAGTTTAATATAAGCAAGGGACACCCTTAAATTAGATATGATAAATAAGCACATTGGCCCAAATCCTCAAAGTTATTTAGGAAGAGGAGGCGCTAGGTGGGGGTTGGGGGAAGGGGTGGAGTGGGGGTGGAGTCTGGAGCATAGCAGGGGTCGAGCACCCCCTGGGAACTGAGGAAGTTGGTGTCTATGTTAAAAACCCAAAGATACAATGTATTCCCCAATGCCAGAAACATTTTTAGACATATTCTCTCTAATATGAGTCTTGCAATCCTGACTCCCAAGTAATGGGAATACTTATTGACTCAATATTATGTATGTGGGTAGGGCTTGTAGGACTAGGCTGTTGATACAGACATGCTATGTAAACTCCCAAATCAGTGAAGTCACTTTGATGTAAAAGGGAATTTTGCCTGAGTAAAGCCTACAGGATTGGTCCCTAATTCTTTGTTTAACTAGACTTCTCCAGGATATCTCTTCCTTTACACTTATTTTTAAGCAAAAGTGTTGACTAAAGTATATGCTAGAAGGTTTGCATGGTGGCTTATGACATTTTAGCCATGCAATGGGCATTTAATCTTTGAATATCTGATCCCCTGGCCTAGTAGGCTGATATTTTTGTCTATGAGCAGTACATACAATATTACCTGTGCTGATGATATCATCTGGAAGTTCATCTCCACAGTACCTGAAAAAAGATTGTAAATGGTTCATGACTAAATGTGTAAATATGCAATAACATACATGCCACAATGATACCTTAACAGAGAAGGATGGAGTCCCCCTTTCTGTTATGGTCCATAGTTCTAAGTTGTTCTTTGGGGTCTATTCTAACATACAATTATATCATTGGCTTACGTACTTTTATCTGCACTATTTCACAAATGAGAGTGAGGAAGGAGAGAAGAAAGAGGATGCAGGAAGCAAAATTTGCAATAATTGAAGAAAGTAAATGAAATAAAAGAAGGCAAAGAGCTATTCATTTTCATAAGGAACAATGACCTGAAGCTGAGGGAGGACAACCTTAGGCTAGACATCAGGAAAATGTATTAAAGGGGACTTGTCAAGGGAAAAAGAAAAAGGGGATTGTGTACTTTCTTTGCTTCTTGATGGTGTACAAAGGAGGCATGAAAAGCAGTGAGAATTTTAAGGGTGTTTTTTTTCTCTGTTTTTTTACATTAGAAATTCAGATGTTCTAAGCTGGAAAACTATGATTGCGGGGGAACCAGTGAAATGACAACATCACAAGAGCAAAGAGAGTAAAAAAATTGAGCAAGTAAGCGGGAAAGCAATGTTTCAGATTGTCAGTCTGTTTAAAACTCCTTGGGTTACTGGGTCGTTTTTGTTTTGTTTTTGTTAATATTTATTTCGCTTCAGTAAAGAATAACATTTTGGGTTAAATCTGTTTTTGCTAATAACTCAACCCCACTCCCACATCCCTTCAATTAAGGTGTTAGAGCAAACACTAATTGTGCTCTGAGACTTCCAAGAGGTCTTCCACTAAAGCCAGGGATGGATGAACATACTTGTATTTTTAGGGTAACAGTAAGCAGTTGTTGAGAAAATCTTGCAGGCTTTCTTTATATTTCATAAAGAAGCAAAAAAGGGCAAAACCCTAATTTTTAAAAAATCTTTGCAGGTTGCCTTTGCTAGTAGTGCCAGAGGAGATGGTTTAGGCAACATCATTGCGTATATTCAAGAACATACTAGATGCAGGAGTGATGTAGGAAGCACCTCTGTAAATGCAACTTGGTCAACGTGGTCTTTTTCTGAGCGTACTGTCAATGAAATATTATATCTTTAACATTTTAACTATATAGCTTGAAATATATGTATAAAGATGTGGAAATTATTTTTACCTGCCCACAAAGCCAGTGATATCATCATAGCTATCATAGACTTCTAAGAAATCAGCCATGCAAGCAGTGTCATCTTCAACATCAAAATCCAGGAACTGTAGATGAATCCGTTGTCCGTACTTTAGTCTAATATGCCAGTAGCATATTAGTTTATTTTCATACTCGTTTGGGTAGCCTGGTGACTTAAAGATGTGCTTTGCATCTGTGAAGATTCCACCACATTCTTTTGCTAAGAGAAAAATAAAAATAGACTTTAAATGTGACTAAAAATAGACTTTGATTTGTCATGCCTTTTTGTCTGTTAGCTCTTCTGACTGAATCTTACACAGAACCAACCCAGTATAACAGCAGCAAGACTCTTGAGTGCTGTTCATATATTCTATAACCCCATCATTCTGAACTAGTACCCATGGTAACACACATATAGAGAATATAGTATATATGGAGTTGATATGTTGGCAACTAGGGGCCTAATCCAAAGTCTATTGAAGACAATGGAAGTGCTCTCATTGACTTCAATAGGCTTCAGATCAGATGCTAGGTGCTCTGTATAAAGAAAATTGGGATGTCAAGCTAAGTCCATCTATAGGCCTCACAACTGCACTTATAAATCACCCCACTTCTAACCTGGTCTCTCTTCCTTCAAGTCCTTCCTTAAAATACTTCCCATCCAAAATATCTACAAACTCTAGCCCTCATCCCCATTCAGTTAGACTGCTTTTTTGTTGTTGTGTCCTATTCCCCCTTCCATTGGGCTTTATCATTCAAGATGTTGAGCACCTGTTCCCATTAGCTTCAGTGGAAGTTGAGGACTCTCAACAGCTCACAAGCCTGGAGGACCAAGCACTCGGGGCTGATCTACACTACCGCTTAAGTTGATGTAACTTACATCTTCTCAGGGGTGTGAAAAGGACACCCCCCGAGCGACATAAATTACGTCGACTTAAGCGCTGTCCACACTGGCGTTATGTCAATGGGAGATGCTCTCCCGCCAACATAGCTTTTCCGCGTCTCGCAAAGGTGGAGTAATTATATTGACAGGAGAGTGCTCTCCTGTTGGCATAGCGTGTCTTCACCAGATGTGGTGCAGCTGCACCAATGTAACCTCTAATGTAGACTTGCCCTCAGTTTGTACATTGTCTATTTTGATTCTAAACTCTTCAGCACAGGTACTTGGTCAGGAAGGACTTGCATCCCAAACACAAGTTGTTGCACAATGTACTGCCAACATTGTTAATATTTCCGCAGGCCTTAATTCAAATAGAGACAACTTAGCGTCCTCTCCTCGGGATGCTGCCCTTTCCCCATGAAGACAGGCAAATCTTCTCAAATCTGAACAATATTCTCCATCAAGTATTAAGAAATTTATTCACAATGGGAGGGACCCAAATCAACCTCTAAGTGTAAACAGCTCTGGTTAATCATGCTGTCAACCGCCCAAAGAATGTATTTGGAAAATATCTAACTGGCATCTCTTTGTGTGTTTATCTGGGGAGGTATTTGAGAGCTGACATGCAGGAAAAAAAGCAATTGCAGTCAGAGACATATTTTCCTTCAAGATTGTGTATTTATAACAAAAGACTAAGATCACCAAACAGTTAGGCTAGGTCTATACTACAGCGGGGGTCCGACCTAAGATACGCAACTTCAGCTACGTGAATACCGTAGCTGAAGTTGCGTATTTTAGGTCGA